CCAATCACAAGCGTTGAATTCAAATTTGTTGCGAGACAAGTTGTAGCTTCAGTGGTAATACGAGCAGCAAAACTAAAATTTGTTGCGGAAAGTAGAACTGGAGTCTACTTTGCGCAACATATTGCCTCAACTTGCAACACTGTATTTTGCTGCGAGACAAGTTATTCACAAACGTGGTAATACGCGCAACAATGTGTTTCAACTTGCAATGCAACAATGTTGCGAGACAAGTTGAAGGAAAATGTTGCCCGTATTAACGGACCTTTAATATTACACAAGCTAAGTCAAGATGGAGTCTCGTGGGTGATTGAAGATGGGAATCCACTTGAACTCGCTGAACCTGCAAGTAAAGATGAATTTCCTAAAGAATATAGTAAACTTAACAGTAAGTTCTTCTCTCAAGTAAGCTGTGGCGAAAGCTTGGCATTAATGGCCAAAGCCAAATCGGCAAATACGGACTGCGTTTCTCTATCAGTGGCAAATTTACCGATGCAGTACACTGAATCGCAAAATACTGATGCTTCAATGCTCTCGAGGTATAACATTTCGAAAAATGTAAAAAATTCTACAACAGTCGTGAACTTTGTTCACTTACAGCTGTCTCGATCAGGAAAGAATCATCCAAGGAACGTAAAAAGGCCAACGCAAAAACACGTAATTTTTCCGTGATCATCAAGTTCAAGGGTGATCTCAGCGTGATCGACGTACAAATCACAAATCCTGATGAATACAACGACATAAGATTCTCCTTCGTCTGGGTAAAGGTAAAGTAAAAGTAAAGGTAAACTTTATTTAGCCAGGGTGGCCCATTCCGCGACGAGGCTGATATCCAGAGGGGCCCTGGACTAAAAATATAATGATTAAAAATACAAGACATCGTGATAATTTAAAAGTGCAAGATGAAATTGTCATGAGATATCATGACATGAACATTGTATCAAGCAATAGTGAACTGCCGCGACCCAGAAGACCTTTCGGCATTGTCGCGTACTCTTTCACGCTTGCGTTAGTGATAGTAAATAATAATGACAGTAATAATGAAAACGGCTTTATCAGAAAATCCAAATAAAATTGGCTCTTCCATGCTAACCGCTAAAAATACAACTTGCTTACTGTAAAGAACTCTAGAAAAAGAATTTAAAATTTTATGTGCTAAAATAACTAAAAAAAAGAAAAAAAAAATCGAAATTATTTTATAAAGCCTTTCCTCATTTTAAAATATATTTTAGCCCGGCGACTAAACTCATGTATATGAATCCACCAAACAGTTGAAGTACTCACTTTGGTTTTACATCCCATCTTTTCATTGTCAGTGTGATTTGGAATCTGAAAGGAATTAGAAAAAAAGACACCAGACGAACGAACAAACGAACCAACTATAATACGAGATTAAAAATTAAACGGCATGCAATGCATGCGGAAGCGATGACGCGTACGTGCTGTTTCTAAAATTGTTCCAAGAAAATTGGAACATAAACAGACAGGCTGATGGTTAAACTTAATTAAAAGTAAAAGTAAGGTACAACCTGTGTGGGAAGTACTTGTATTGTTAGTGGCTTTGCATACTGATTGAATTTTGAGAGTCCAAGTGATCGCTCGCATCGCAAGCTTACTTGTTCCCTTTCTTCAATTGTTCCTCTTTGAACTGAATAATGCAATTCACCTTTCTCCCTTTTGTTTACTTTTCGAAATGACNCCAAGTGATCGCTCGCATCGCAAGCTTACTTGTTCCCTTTCTTCAATTGTTCCTCTTTGAACTGAATAATGCAATTCACCTTTCTCCCTTTTGTTTACTTTTCGAAATGACCGGCAGTGATGCTTACAAATTTTTATGCAATATAACAATGTAAAAGAATATTGTGATAGATGTCCCCAAGAGAAATCCAGTGGCGGATCCAGACTTTCACCAATACAGTTTATTTCACGTTTCACAGATAAGGTCAGATATTTCAGTGCTCATACACTGCTGTGACAGTGCTCATTTAATTGAATTCATCTCAAGACAGCAAAAAGTCCGGGCTAAACAGTGCTCACCAATACGTAAATTTAATGTTGACCCTTGACCTATCGCGTGTGCAACTTGCTTGTAGATCTAAAGTTTTATGTATAGACGATGGGTTCGTAATATCAGTTTGCCGGTGAGCGCAAAATTATCGGATATTGCATAAAGCACAATCCACAATAAAAATCTTCCTTTAAACGCTGAAATTAAAGACACTCCGCGGATCCTACAAACTGCAAAAGACAGCCGCAAATGATAAACTTGAAAACAACAAATCGTATTTCATTGTTTCTCTCTGAAAGCAACACCATATCTTGAAATACAGACATTTGGCAACGCTAATTACCTGACCGGAAATTAATTTGTTGTTTTAACCTTATACCTGTTTTTAATGAGCCTTCCATTGATCTACCACTGACAAAACCATTATCTATTGTTTAATCACAATCACTCTTCTGTTAAGAGAAAATGTAAAATACCACATTTGTAAAACTTTACAAAAAACTAAAACCTGCAAATAAATTGTAACTTGAATTCATTATCACTACTGTAAACCTTCTGTTTTATTACAAAAATAACCTGTCTTCCGTTGTGAATGTTTTTCAGCTAAAAATCCTGAAGTTAAATCACGTCTTCTAGACTCTTCTAGTTGTTTTTCACAAACCAAACCTAATTTGTGCTCTTATCATGCGTGACAGTTATAAGCTGTTTTCATTACAGCAAAAGGATTAGTTCTTCATCGAATTACATTTTTTTAAGTTGAAAGATACATTACATTGCCTCCAGGTAAAATGTAAACAATAGCATGAACCAGAACTTCCCTCTTACACGACTCGAGTATTCTTTGGCTTTCATGTAAATGTTGTGTAACCCAACTGCCACTCTCTATTGCATTAAAGAGACTATAATCTAAGCTACATTAACCAGTTCTGATAAAGACAAAAACTTCAGCTAGCTCACCTTTTCGTAACACTATTTTCCATTGCCTTCCGCTATCTCAGCTGCTTTCACTGCGAACTTCTTCAATGCCCTCTTCAATTCTAGTTCAATTTCACCACTATTTCAGCCCACAGATATGTTTAGTTCAGCCCTAAACAACGCTCACCAATACGTAAATTTAATGTAAACCCTTGACCTATCGCGTGTCCCACTCACATAAGTTTAGTTCAGATGTCTCAGTGCTCATATAATGCTCACACAGTGCTTATTTACTACCTCTCGGAGTGTATTGCCCTTCCACAGGGGGGTGAATCGTGCGCTACATAAGCGCAAATATGCGGTGCCCATTCAAAGGAATATCGTGTGCCAGCATAAACCGATCACAATTTCTGACGTCATCGCTTAAAAATCAAACCCTGCTTAAAACATAGTCTCTTCGTCATGTTCGTTTTATAGAAATGATCGTATTAAATCTCTAATATCAACAATATGTCACATTGCTGAACAATATCACCTGACAAACCACAGAATCGACTGGGACTGCTCGCTGTATTACACATACTATAAAACCCCACTTTTACTATGCGCCGCGATCAATCTTGGTGACGTATCGTGGTCGTCATTGCTTAAGCTCCCTAACAGGTTAGCAACGTCGTACAAATGTCCCCTAGAAATTTCGCAGCGACTGCACTAGCAGGCGCGGGTTACCTGATAAATAGTAGACAACATTTTTCTTTATTCCGCATACAGTTGTACACAATTCTGGCCGGCACTGGCGTCATCGAGTGAATTACAAATTGGGACTGTTTCAACTAAAACTTCACTTTGCAGGCCTAAAACTTTGACAACTAAGCTCGATTAACACGAGGACGTCAGTCAAAAAGGCCAAATTGAACGTGTTACCATTTCCCTTGGAATCAAAGCCCCACAACTGTTAGGACAAGATACTGGGAACTTGCTGCACTGTCCAATGTGATCTTGCAAGAGAAAAAGCAAATACGACATTTTAAGCCGAGTTTGTTTTGGTACAGCTACTGTTTCCCTTGTTTTTTCCAGCTGGATTCCTGAATATATTTGTATACTTCAATCTTTCGAAATGCAGCGAATGTAGATTTTCGCAGTTATCATAATGATATTCGTAATAATAACAAACAATATGCCTCAAGAGAATCACAAGCTCTTGTATTGCCTCAAAGCCAGTCAGCAGGTATGATCTTGGCAGACCATAACGACAATATGGCAGCAAAACATGATAGGAAATGGCTATGCAAAATGCAAAATAAAAATTATTTTCTCTGGCGACTAAGGGACTGAAAAAGTCGTAATTTTGTAGTTGTAAGAGATACCAGGAGACTGTAGTCTATTGATGATAGTTAAACACAACATGCTGCATAACCCTCTCGTAAAGATTGAAAATCACAATTATCGTTTTTTCATCAAATTAAATCATTTTACCTGCATCTTACACTCTGGGTGTGGCTCACTGCCAGTGATCACATTCAAGGATCCTCCACTGGCACATGGTGGTTACGTGTTCCTCGAGATCTCTTCTTTGCAAAGTCACACGACAGTTTTCGTTGGTACAGGAGACGAATTTGAAAAGACAAGGTGCCAGGTGAACCTATTTCACAAATAAAATATACCTACACTTCAACAATACAGTTCTGGTTTACTTTTAGACCAGAACATTCAGTCATCTAGAGTGAAACATTCACAGATTATTTACAAATAACTGGAGGAATGATGAAACAAAGCAAGAGTACTTATCAATAGTTCATGTTCTCATAGATATTTGCAAATGTTTTACTTGATCATGATATTAAGACTCCGTACAGACAGGTGTATTTAGGCTCTTTATTCAGCAATCTTGATTTATTCAAAATTAGACTATAAAGCCATCATGAGTGCAATCTCTTGTTTACCTCTTTACTTCTTAGTTCTCCAGTCCAGTCGCAACCTTTACTGGGACATTTGATGGCAAAAGAAAGAATGTTCCTTTCTGTTGCTTTGTCAGGGAAGACATCCTTAAAAAGAGTAAAAGTAACCACAAGGAATTCGAGCACTAAAGACATCTTAGTCCAAGTGACAACAGGCGACTTGGCGGAATGCTATGAAAGAGGAACAATTACATATCTTGCTTTATTAGAGCTACTGAGCTAGGAGACTAGAGGGAGTACGATAAATACCATTTGAACAATGAAAATACGGAAGCAATCAGTATAGCTTAGGTTCGCAGTTCTATGAAGTTTAAGAAGCTGAAACCAAAAGAATTGTCCACCTCCTCATGGAAATTACTGAGTCAAAAGCTTCACGTTCAAAGTAAATTGGTTATGTTTTCCCTCTAAATTTCGGTCTAATAACTCACTAATCTTATGTTTTATTGACACTGAACTTCTGAAAAACAAATTTATTTACCCGGTCTCGGTTCAGACCCTCTCTGTCGGCAGGACAAGTTAAAGGTTGGTCTTGAGCTCCCTGCCTGTTAGAAAATGTTGATAGAAAGGAGCAATGAGCTAAAGGCTTTGTAAGTAAAGAGAAAAGCCTGGAATTTAATACATAGTTCAACTTGGATCATTGAAAAACTTCGTTGAAATACTATACCTATAATACCTGCAGTGGTTTTACCTGAAATAGTGATTGTTGTCTCGCGATCAGTGTTGTATTCTAAGATGCAGGACGCTTGCTTTACACTCAGCATGAAAACCTAACTTTACTGCTGTGTAAAGCTGGCGTAAATTTCTAATTTCTAATTAACAAATTCTATGCTACCTTAATAGGTTCATAAAAGAAGTGCTTTACACAGTGCACTCACGTCTAAAGCTTCCTTAAAGAGACTCAAACTTTTCAGCGAACTTTAAGTTACTGCTTAAAGTTCTGCATATGTCAACTTTACACAGGGTAGCTTAAATGTTGGCTTTAAAGTCCTTTAAAGATGATTTCCAGTCGGTACTGCGCAGTCTCAGCAGCCAAATATTTATAAACACTGTTAGTCTCACTCGATGGAATGCGAATCGATGTTATTCCGGTTAGAAACCCTATACCTTATCTTTGAGGCATTTCAAAATCTTTTTCCAACAGCTTCATTGATTTTTACAGCTGCGAAGTTGTTGCATCAAGTGATATGAGAAAGAACAAAGCATAAAGCTTTAGTACCTCTTCCAGACCTGTATTTTGATTCGTTCTCTTATCCTGTAGCTCCTATTGCTTCAAGCGCTGGGGGCATTATTTAATTAATTTATCTATTGTTTACTGAGCTAATCGCAAACTCTGTTTGGAAAGCTACAGGCTTTCTCTAAAGCTTTGCATCATCCACAATGCGGTTGACATGAAACTTTGAATTTACTTCATGTAAGTAGTTGCGAAATATTTCATTTTGTGATGTCTTACATGAAGCAAAACTAAAAAGGTAAACAAACTCTTGAGAGTGCGCAGTACATACTGGAAATCATATTTAATAACATTTAAATTAAGCGTAAGGTTGGATAATCATTATAGTGGAGGATTAAACCAACTTTAATGTTCCGTAAATTTGTATTTTCATAGGTATACTGTGACGGAAAGAAAATAAACTACCAAAGTACTAAAACCTCTGTCTTAAACTTTTAAACACTTTCAAGCAGTCTACTTTAAATGGTCAAATTTTCTCATAAATGCTTACTAACGGAGTCATGTTTAAACACCAGATACCATTGTGAAAGAAGAAAAGTTAACAAAAGCAAATTGAGTTTTCAATTAACGCTCGATAAATTGTTATGAGTCAAGTAAATTAACCACTTTAAGACATTAACAATTTTAGCTTCCGCTTTCGGTTAAATTTTGGTTGTTAACGAAATCTTTCAGACAGAGAGAACTTAGTTGATCTTATTTAGGGATGGATGCTAAAAATAAGGAAAAAGCGTGGAGTAAGCTAAAGCCAGACATGATCTGAGCTTAATACGTTTGATCGAGCGCATCGAGCGAAAAACATTCGCATATATCAAACAGGTAAATGTCGATATCTAATCTCTTTTATGTCATATTTTTCAGCTGCATAGCCTACCTCTCTTCTGTTGATCAAATTTATATCGGCGCTTAAAACTGTAAGAGGTTCAATTATAATAAAGCTAGGGAAATAACAATAATATATAATATAATATAGCTGGGTAAATCCGGTTGCGATGCAAACATAACGAGAACAAGCAACTGAGACACGCGAACCCAAGCATTGAATTAAAAATAGTTTGATCCCTGTTTTCAATGTTTATATCCTAGTCTTTCTATGGACTCTTTCTTGTGCTTAAGCTTACGCTTGTGCCATGAGTGAAAAATAAACCTTGGGAAAGGCACTCAGATGTTGAAATAAATGACACTGTAGCCTTACAAGTAACAACGTAAATTACGCCGCACCTTCTAGAATGTTCCTCGGGGCATTCTTTACAAAACCCGTGACCGCAACTAGTCAAAACAGGCTCCTTAAGCAATAAATGACATATTAAACAGAGATTCTCATCTTCATCTGCACTCACAGAGTTCTCGTCGTAACCCGAAGGCAGCCGACTTCTTGGAGCTTCCGCCATGTTGTAAATTGAAAGCGAAAGCTTGTTGAAATCAAACTAAACCTTACGTAAATCATGCCCTTTAAAAGTCCTTATTAGTGCAATTGGGATTGTGTTACCGTCTCACGCAAGTTGTTTCGAAGTTGTTGCTCTTGCTGTCGCCTGATTTTACTCGACTAAGGAGAATCTTCGCTTTTCTGCATGGCTCGATTGTTCCAATTAATTTAGTTCGTACACTCTACTGATCCCTCGCAATGGTCGAAAGTGGAGCCAGGAGGCTTATTCACGCCTCATTAAACTCACGGAAACCCTTGATTTATCTGCAGTAGTTTAAAAAATCAGCCCCCCCCCCCTTAAAAAAAGATATATTTTTTTAATCCAGGAACCATAATCGGGGACGGAGACCGTAAGTCTTGGGATCCGCGCGCACCTATGATATGGGACAATTTTTCTATTTTTAGAACAAATTGCGCCACC